CCAGTAAGAGCAGAACCACCAGAAAACCCAGATCTGGTCTCACAGCAGTCTCAGCCTTCAGACGCTGTTTGCTCTTGTTGTGGTCACCGCGCCCTCTAGTGGGCGCTAACAACACCTCACTCAGTTGGTCTGTTTTATTAAAATTCTCCAAAATGCTTCAGTGCTGACCTTTGATCGTGTTTTCTGGCGTCGCGAGGAGCCCAGCCGGCAGCAGAGAGGTGAATGCCTGCGTTCTGATAACCTGAGAGTCAACAGTGTTAGGTAAGACCCAAAAACCCCTGCTGAGTAAACTCACCTTTGTTACACACTCAGCTCTGTATACAAACAAACAGAGGAGCTTCCACCTCGGTTGTGTTTCACTGAGGACCCCCAGCCGTTTGCCAATAGCCGAGTAAATGAATAACTAATCAAATCCAGCTGTGTCGCTCAGTTCTCTGCAGAGCTCAGTGTGTTTCTTACTCACCTTCAGGATGAAGGTGTGTGTCCTCCTCGCGTGTGTGTGGCTTCTCTGCTGGAGGTCGGAGGCTCAGTCCAGCTCGTAAGTCTGTTTGAACTTTATTACCTGTTAATGAATGTTTTATTACCCTGCAGCCTCACATTTACTGCCGCAGCTGTTTTGGCTTAAACAGCTGTGTTCGTGTTCAGCTGCAGGGTGTGCAGAAGAAACAAAAGGTCAGAACAACTTATTTGATGCCCAAGCACAAAGAAGCTTGTAGCATCCTGCATTTCCTCGATCGGGCCGGCCGTGTCAAACAGCAGAGAGTCAGCGTGGGAGAGTCAGCGTGTTCCTCGTTAGTCCTGTTTACCGTCCATCAGGTCACCAGTGGATAAGTGAGGGTTAAGGTTAGGTTGAATTTCCCCACATGCTAAACATGCCCAGCTTTTCAAACTAGAAGATTTTACCTCTCCAACCAAATCTCATAGATCCATTTTGACCTTCCAGATTTCCGGCACGCCAAACAGGTGAAAATTCCATATAAATGTGATCCTATTCCAAACAGGTCGGTGGAAACCTGTGGATGTCAAGAGGTTAAGAACCACAGAATCAATAACTTCTATAGACAGGGACAAGGTTTTTGTGCAAGAAGCTTTTGTTGACCAATCACATTTGACCGGGTGAGTCACGCACCTCCAGGAGAGCGTTAACCAACCCAAACGCCCCCCTGCTCAACGGTCATGTTTGCCAAGGCTTCAGCAGGTACAGGTGCGGAGCGGTCGGGGCTGTTTTTGCAACCAACATTTTAAATTTGCAACTGCAACAAAGTTTGTAGTCTTTCGATAAAAAGAGCTGCAAGATATCGTTGTTGTGAGTTGGCACTACGTGATAAACTGAAATCTTCACACCGAGTTCTGAGTTTCTAGCAGCCTGAACCAAAATTACATCCAGTTGACTTTTAAGACCCCGAAATAAGAAGGTGGAAAAAACTACTAAAGGTTTGTTTCACCCTTTAAAGACACCTCTGAACTCTTTGGGTACTTCCTGGAGATTGAGAGCATTGGACTTGTGGGGATGTGTGTGGGGGAAACAGCTCGTAGCTTGCATGGAGTGTTAGTCTGTGAAGGTTCTCAGTCATCCAGGTCATCGTAGTCCAAGGAGCTCGGA